AATCTTGCAGTTCTCCCTTGCTGCCACTCCTTGTCTCCTCTCTCACACCTCCACAGTCACTTCCAGTCCCAGATACCCATGTAGTCTTTTAAAAAGCAGACACAAATGTCCTAATATTTAATCAGAGGATGCCGTCTCTCCCTGAGGAGGGGCTGCCACAGGCCATAAGCACAATTTAGGACTTTGAACATACCAACTAATCAGTCATTGCCCCAGGGAGGGAGGACTTGCCCTCTCCCCTTCCCTGTTGCTCAACCCACCACTCAGTGCTAATGCTCATATTTCCCCAGTGAAAGCCCAAGTATTTCCTCATTTTTTTTGGCTCCAGACCAGATCTATGTTTGGACCCAGGTCAGAGCCGTGGCAGACTTTGTCATGCTGGGAGAAGGGGCAGGGACAGGCAGGTGAGGTGGAAGGACCACCTTGTTTGGTGGACACAGGTGTGGACTGACTTAAAGGGAACTACAGACTCTGCAGCCAGTGCCTGTTTGTTTGCTGGATTTTTTTGTGGTTTTTTTCCACAAGCAAAAGATAATGTAGAACAGAATGGCAAAATGTTCAAGGTATCCCTGGTTTTAAGACAACCTCACTTCAGGTGGACTTTGAGGCAGCTTCCTTGAGATGATGACTTACTTTTTGTAAGCCTCCAGCAGGTGGGGAGATGACAGGAAAAAAGTGCCGTTTTCTCACTTTTGGCCGTTTTCACACAGACCCCAGTTGTGCCGATACGACCTGGTCCTGACTGAGAACATCCAGAAAACCTTCAAGCCCATCCCATGCTGAAGCAGGATGCCCCGAGGATGCTGTGCCTGGACAGACATTTCACCGCCGGGTGGGGCCTCACCTAGGGGCCCCGGGCACCTTCTGAGGGCACCGAGCAGCGGGACCCGCTCTCCACGCACAGTGTATACGCGGGCTGGGGGAGCGACAATAAACCATGGTGGCACATGGCTTTAAAGCGTGGCTTTAAAAGGAGGGCTTAAAGCGAGGGTTTAAAACGGGAGTTGAAAGCGCGTATGCGCGGCTGAGCCGGCTCGGAGCCCTCAGGAGCAGCAGCTCCTAGCAGATCCCTCGGGGCCACGCCCGCCATCACGGCCCTCACGGCGGCCCCGGCCCCGCCCCGCGCCTGCGCACCCGGCTCGGGGCGCTGAGGGCGGCAGGGCCGGGCCGGGTTCGCTCGGCTCGGTCCGGCAGCGGCGGCGGCCCTGAGCCGGGATGTGGCGGCGCCCGGCTGGTCTCCTGCTCGTCTTCGTGGCCGCCACGGCCGCGCTGTGGCTGCTGTCGGTGCGGCTGAGTGCGGGGCAGACGCGCAGGTGGGTGTGGGGGGCCGGCGCTGCCCGTGTGTCGCTCCCTTCCCCCGGCGTTGCCCGTGTGTCTCTCCCCTCGCAGGGTGCTGCGGTTCCCGGCGGACCTGGACGAGCTGCGGGATCTGGCCGAGGCGCTGCGGGACTACGAGCGGCAGCACCGGGGCGCGGCGCTGGCCCTGTTCTGCGGCGCGTACCTGTACAAGCAGAGTTTCGCCATCCCCGGCTCCAGCCTCCTGGTACGGGGAGGGCGGGGCGGGGCGAGGGGCCGGGGACTCACGGATCGGGCAGGAGGAGCCGGAGGGACCCGACCGGGCCCCCGCCTGAGCAGAAGTAACCCTTAGTACCAGTACGGGTCGGGGCTGACCTGCTGGAGAGCAGCTCTGCTGGGAAGGACCGGGGAGTGTTGGTGGATGATGTGCCCTGAGGGCCAGGAAGGTCAGTGGGATCCTGGAGTGCACCGGGAAGAGAGTTCCCAGCAGGTTAGGGAGTGATCCTGCCCCTCTGCTCAGCCCTGGTGAGGCATAGCTGGAGTGCCAGGTCCAGATCTGGGCTCCTCAGGAAAAGAGAAAGAAGGAGAGGGTCTAGCGGAGGCCACAAAGAGGTGCAGATCTGATGAGGAGAGACTGGGAGCTGGGCCTGGTTAGTCTGGAGAATACTGAGAGGGGATCTCATTAATGCATATAAATGTCTCCAAGGAGTGTCAGAGGATGGTGCCACTCTGTTCAGTGGTGCCCAGCAACAGGACAAGGAGCAATGGCCATAAACTAAAGCACACGAGTTTCATCTCAATATGAGTAAGAACTTCATTCCACAGAGGGTGGCAGAGCACTGTGAACAGCTGCCCAAGGGAGGGCACAGAGTCTCCTTCTCTGGAGACATCCCACACCCACCTGTTCCTGTGTCACCTGCTCTGGGTGACCCAGCCTTGGCAGGATGTTTGGACTGGATAATCTGCAGAGGTCCTTTCCAACCCTAACAGTTCTGTGGTTCTATGACACACTGTTCCCCCCAGGCCTCACTCCGTCTTGTCCCCACAGAATGTCCTGGCTGGAGCACTCTTTGGACCATGGATGGGGCTGGTGCTGTGCTCAGTGCTCACATCTGTGGGAGCCACCCTCTGCTACCTGCTCTCTGCAGCTTTTGGCAAGCAGCTCATTGTCCACTTCTTCCCTGAGAAGGTGGTTCTGCTGCAAGGGAAGGTAAGAACTGGCAGTTCTGCTGACACCCGCGATGGCCCTGGGCCAGGCTGCTGTTGGGGTGGCAGTGAAAATGAGTGTGTGCAGGAGATGCATCCGGCCTGCTGAGGGCACAGTCTAGGAGCAGGCTGCTCTCTTGGAGCAACCCTGTTAGCAAAGGGGCTGCCAGGAAAATCCTGGATCTTAAGGAAAAGCAGATACGAAATAAAGGAGTGTTTGGGAAGCCCCTGTACTCCAGAACTGCCTCTATCCATCCATGCTGTGTTGTACACTGGAGGTGGTTCTGCTCTTGACTTCCTGTTCTTTTGTTCAGGTGAGATCCCATTTCCATCCCTTCTTGGAAGAGGGCTGGCTCACCACTGGGCTCCCATACATACATAATATTGCTGCTCTCCCTCAATTCTGAACTGATGTTATGCTGTGGGATGTTAGAAGGAAAATTCACTCCAGTATCTTGGCCATTTGAATGTTACTGCCATTTGAGGAGCAGGAATGATGTGGAACGTTTCTTTTGGCAGGTAGAAGAGAACAGGAGCTGCTTATTTTTCTTCTTGTTGTTCCTGAGGCTGTTCCCCATGACACCAAACTGGTTTCTGAACCTCTCGGCTCCCATTTTAAACATCCCCATATCCCAATTCTTTCTCTCCGTCCTTATTGGTAAGGCCTGGGGACAGTGTGACACTGCTGCTCTTGCTATCTCTGAGCCAGGGAGGGCAGAGCTGGGACTCTACCCTTGGTCTGTTTCCTCTGTGCTGCCCTTGAGCATTCTGTAAACAGAAGTCCCCAGTGCTGCACATTCTGCTTTACACTTGGTTCTTTCTGTCCCCTGTGTCTGTGTAATGGCTGTAAATTAAAACACTGAGTTCCACCTCAACATGAGGAAGAATTTTCCATGGAGGGTGGCAGAGCACTGGAACAGCTGCTGAGGGAGGGCATGGAGTCTTCTCTGGAAACATTCCAAATTCCCCTGGACACATTCCTGTGTCACCTGCTCTGAGTAACCCTGCCTTAGCAAAGGGGGTTGGACTGGATGATCTCCAGAGGTCCTTCCATCCCTTACAATTCTGTGATTTCTGTGTCTGGTGTTGGGCATATTTGAGCTAATTTTCCCATGGGGGATACTAACTGCTTTTTTCTGCTCTGATTCCTTCAGGCCTTACACCATATAATTTCATCTGTGTGCAGACAGGGGCCATTCTGTCCCAAATCACCTCTCTGGATGCCATCTTCTCCTGGGACACACTGCTCAAGCTGCTGGCCATGGCTGTGGCAGCGCTGATTCCAGGGACCCTTATCAAGAGATACAGCAAGAAACACCTGAAGCTGGATGGGGACAAGCAAGCTCAGACACTCAATGGCAGGAAGAGCTTGTGATGGCTTAGGTGCCCCAGTTTTGGGGTAAAAGCTGCAGGACTCTGTTCCCAGGGGTTATATTCTGCATGCTCTGTGCCACTAAGGACAGTGGCAATTTTTAATCATTCTTCTCACCTCAGAGGAGGTGTCTGTTCTTACTTTTAATGAATGTTTACCTGTGCATGTACCTGCACGGAGAGAGAGATACAGGGGCTTTGTGAACACTCAGTTAATTTGCCTGTTTCATTTAAATCAGTCTCCTGTGTGCCTGAGGCTGTGGGGAGCAAAAGGAAGAGTACTGGCATCCTGTAAGGAAGGCAAACCAGAACCCAGCTGTGGATCACTGGCCAAGCACAACCCTGTGGGCAGCAGGCAGGCCCTGCTCCCTCCAGCTCCAGACAGATTTAGCATTTTTGGCCTCAAATGATGAGCCATGTGCTCCTGTGCAGCTGTAAAAGCACCAAGTTGAGAAAATAATGGTGTTTCAGTGTGGAGCTGTAGAAGATTCTTCTTTGATTCCCGTGTAAAACCAGCACACGCTGCAGCAAAATGCTCTGAATTTGAGCTGCCAGAATCAGTCATGTCAGAACACTTGAGATTGCTTCTCTGGTCTGCCAGTGGCTGCTACACCCCGTAAAGACTAAAAGGGAAAAGAACGGGAATGAATGTGCCTGACTGGCAGAGATTTGTCCTTGAAAAGCACCTTGAAAGCCACACATTTGCTCCTGCATAACTAGGAGGATTCCAAATAAAGAGGTGGGCTCTGTCCCAGTTATGGAGAACATAAGATCGCAGAATGGTTTGGGTTGGAAGGGATCCTAAAGCCCATCCTCGCCCCTGTCATGGCCACTGTCCCAGATTGCTTTAAGCCCCATCCATCCTGGCCTTGGACACTTCCAGGGGTCCAGGGGTAGTCACAGCTTCTCTGAACAACTTGTGCCAGGGCCTCACCACCCTCCTCACCCCAGGATGACACTGCTCTTGGGATTTTGGTATTTGCTCTCCATGAGGAGATCTATTTGAAGGATAAAGTAACCTTCCTGGTATGGAAGGGGGCAGATGGGAGACCCCAGAGCAAGGCCTCATGACATCATCCCAAAGTCCATGAGAACCCATTCCCAGATCACAAGACCAGTCTGCAGCATTGAAGTACACTGGCTTTTTATTCCATGCATTGTTTGCTTTGATAGTCATTCTTGTTTCCATCACTGTACACTGGTCAATACAAAAAAAAATCAAGTTTGTCTCAGGAATCCACAGAGCAGGGAGGAGGGGATGAACACTACTGGACAGGGCCAAGATGAAATGGGTACTTAACACGACAGTGGGGAGGGCAACATTCAGCTCTGGGAGAAAATCTAGGCTAGTGTTCAGGAGCTGTCAGCAGCCACAAGAACTGGATCAGGGTACTCGGGATGCTGGAAAGGGAACCCACAGTTTACTCCGGCCCTGGAATGCGGTATTACTACAAGGAGTAAGCAGGCTCACCTACACCTCTCAACCCCAGACCCTGCCAGGAGAGGAAGTGTGAGGAACCACAGCAGAGGTGCCCATACAGCGATGTGGGGACTGTGTCTGCAATCCCAGGGAGGTGTCACTAAGGAAAATCCTACATAACCCCCCCAGAACTGACAGCAACCATCCCGGGAATGTGGGGGTGCTGAGCCAGCTCTGCCCACACACAGCGAGGCCATGGGACGTGTGTGCAGGGGAGGCTGGGGTGACTTAAATGTGGCAGCCTGGAGGGGGCAGCTTTGCTTGCCCAGGCTGCAGAACAGGCCAGCATGTCCCCAGGCAAGCATGGGGAGGGATCAGCACACACCCAGGACAACTGGCCCAGAAGCGTCTCAAAATCCCAAACACCAAAGCTCTATGAGCCCAGTGGAGCTTCATCCCATGGTGGAGCCTATGCAGAGACCACAGGTACCCAAACCCCTCTGGAACCTGTTTGTCAGGGACTGGATCACCACAGGCTGGAGGCCCTGAGGACAGTGACACGCCTGTGCTGGAGGCAGCTCTGCTTTGGGGCTGTTTGTGGGACTGCCCAAGGATACCAGTGCTGTCCATGGGTCTCCCAGAGCCTGCCAGGTCTGAGCAGAGTCTCCCCAGGGGCACAGAGCTTGGCATCCTTTGCTGAGGACACCCAATGGCAGTTCTCCACCTCTCTTTACACCACAGTGTGCTATGTGCACACAGTTCTCCACTGCTAAATTCCCACACCTTGACCTCCAGCCTCCTGAGTAACCATCTGCACCAAACCCCCTCTCACACCACAACAGCAAAGCCATCTGTGCCCTGCCAGCTCTTCCTGCCAGTGGCCGAGAGACCAAGAATGTTGGGGAGGAGAAATGAAAGGTGGGAAGAGAGGGGGAAGGAGCCAGGAAAAAACTCCACTCCTCACAGGGTTCTGCCTCTACCCAGAGCAGGGTGAGCAGGTCACTCCCTCTCCAGGAGTCTGTTTGGTCCTGCCAGGGTGATCCACTACATGGACCCATTGCCCAGGGCAGCTGCCCTCCTCCCTGATGTTGTTTTGGATGCTCTGTCCAGGGAATCTTGTCACAGTTATTCGCTTTGTGATCAATTCAAAAGCCCCTCACCCCCTGACCATCCTTCCCACATTCCCACCCATTGGCTGGTGACCATCAGCAGCGTGAGCAAACTGCAGCTCTGCCCACGAGGAACCTGACTGCAGCCATCCACCCCTCCCTGTTCTCTGCCCTGGAGATCACTAGAGGCAGCAACTCCTGACAGCCACTGAGCCCAGCTCTGCTCCCACCCCTCTGGCGAGCAGGGAGAAGGTAACATCACACACAGAGATTACAATTGTGCTAGCGGTGAAGCCAACCTTCTGATCTACAGAAATGATAATAAATAATAAAATAACATCATAACTTAAGATCTGTCTGTAGTCCAGCTACAAAAATTTAAAAATATGGGATAATTTAACTCATACAATACTGCTCTCTGTATAAGTAAGACATTTTCCTTCACTTTGCCATGAGGCTATAAATTACCACAGTTAAGTTCAAACCAATATTTCAACATAAAAATGTAAACAAACAAAGCAACAGAAGTACCTGTCCATGGTCCATTCCTGCCGTTCACCTCTGCTGGCCATGCCAGCCAGCACACTGGGAAGGGCAGAGGGAGAGCTCTTGCAGGGGGACATCAACTAAGGAAAGGGGGGGGAACGTGCTCTATCGTTTTGTTCTCTTTCAATATTGTTTTAGAAGAGTAGTGTTTGAAGGGAAGGCACTATGAGTTCTATCAGAAAACAAATTTTTCTCATCTGCCAATGCCTCGGCCTGTCATATACCAATACTATCCTCACTTGCACCTGCAGAGTTTCAGCTTAGAGGAGACACAGAGGCCTCGGGGCACACTCAAGACACGGCCGTGCCACGGCCGTGTCAGGATTCCCTGCACAAGGCCTGCCATGAAGGGCAGGAAGCTGCTAATACTTCCAAGAATGTTCAGTGAATAAGGAGACAGAGCAGGGCTGATGCTCTAAGCCAGGCCAGTGATTCCCAGTCTTCCCCCTCAACACACAGCCCTCTGCTGGTTCTCGATGCTGCTCTAGGTGAGAGGCTGCTTCTCCCGGTCCAGTCCAGGCGTCTCCAGCGTCCTCCCCAGAAGTGCTCAGGCTCTGTGGAATGTGCTTTCCACGCTTTTCAAGTCCTTGCTCGGCCAACACTGAGTTGATTGATTTCTTTGACTGACTGAAACAGACAGGAGGTAAGAGGAGGAAGTAAACTGGGAAACGGCACACTGCATCTGAGAGAGGTTTCCCTGCTCAGCTGGAGGTTGACACTCCCAGAGTGAAGCAAGGACAGTGGTAAGAAGTGCTCTGATACTAATTCTCAAGAGGACGAGGTTAGAATACATTTGCAGGATCTCACAACAAAATGCTGATTAAAAAAAGAAACTAAAAATCCTTAAAATAAAACCCATCATTACATTCCTGGGGATGTATCGACTCAGAAGACCCTGGATGTTAGCACCTCAGTACGAGTTTTCTCCAGGAACATGTCCACCTTCTGATTAAAAATGACCCAGCTGGTTATACTGAAAACACTTTGTTCACAGGTGACTCTACAGTCAGGTCTTTTTCTGCTTTTCCTCATTTGATAAGACTAAGTGGTTTCGTTTTCTTATCTGTTCTCCAATCTTCAGGGCCACGAGGCCTGGTCCCCTGTGCAAGCAGCAAGAGAATCCCCCGCGTCTGTACACAAAGCTGTCCAGGCAGGACTCCCAGGATGTTTCTCCGTAGTGTGCTTGCTTTCTGATTTTTTTTTTTTGCAACGAGTCTGTGTGTCTATAAATACAATCCACTCTTTACAGTAAAAAGTGTTAAAATGTCAAAAAAATAAATATCCATGTTACAGTAACTAGATTATTCAATAAAATACATCCCTGCCATTCTTGATTGAAATGCTCAAAGAGAATTAATTTCATTTGGACATTTTCCAGAGATTCGGGTTATTGCAAATCACTCCTGGGGTGGGAAGGAGAAGCATCTTCTCTTCCTGTAAAGTGTGATGAAGGGGAATGAAGTGGAATCTCAGGGAAATCAAAATGCCAGTACCAGGAAGCTTTGGGGGAAATCTGTATTACCAAGTAGCAGAGCTGCAGGGCTTATTGGTCCTGACTGTGGCATCAGAACACTCCCCTTCAGAAGAGTCACAGTCTGATTCTCCAAACTGTGGTGGGTTCTGCAAGACAAAAGGAAAGGGGGAGATTTGAGCACCATTCCTGTACTGCACATCACCCACACATCCCAGTCTGTCACAGCAGCCAGGCAAAGGTCACCACCTGCAGAGGAGGTGAGTGGCACACATGGGAGAGGGCACAGCACACAACTGCCCCACCAAAGGTCACTTGTCTCCCCTAAGAGAGGGGACAGAAATACCTGGTCAGAGCACTCTTAAACACAGGGTTATGAGGAGATCATGCAGCAGGCTCTGCCCTACCCCTTCTGAAGACTTGAAAGGCAGAGAAAGGAAGAAAGTCATCCTGGCTTTGTCAGCAAGGCTGCTGATGGATATGTCTGAGGCAGCTTATATCTATTCCATTTCATTATCTATTTTTATCCCACTTAATGCAACTGCAAATCTGATGGCCTCCCAAGATCACACTCATCTGGAAGAGCACATTATGTTCAGCTTTGTTTGTGCTACTCTCCCCCAACCACTCTTTTGCCAAGCAGGAGGAAGATGGGGTATTGCAGCAGTTGCCTTGCCATAGTACACCTACCACATCATTTTCTAGGCAGCGTTCCAACTTTGTGGCCCTTGGATTCTTTTCCATAACATTTATGTAGTTTTTTTCCACTGAGTGGAAGGACAAGGGGATAACCAACTCACCTCACAGCTGTGTTCATCTGCACAAAGTTTGCCCAGAGACATCTGAGTCTTGACCCTCCGCACAGCACATTCTTTGTCCGAAAGCCCATCTGACTGCGTGGAGATTTCAATGGGGATCTCTGGAGTCTGGGACAACATGTCCTCCAGCTTCTCAGCCAGCTCATCCTCCAGCTTGGTGGCCAGCTCATCCGGGCTGTTCGAGTGGTCGCTTGTGTTCCCCTCCTCTCCATCCGACACGGAGAAGTTCTCAGAGCTGAAGGTTGAGTAGGACTGGCAGCTACTGATGCAGCGGTGGGGTCTGCAAATAAGGAGAGAAGTTCAGTGTTCATCTTGGATGACAGCCACAGGAACTTCGTGGATGCTGTGTTCACTGCTCTACTGCGCCAGGCCTTGTGGAGTGCCTTTCACATCCCAGAGCTACAGAATTCTACCCCTTCTGAATGATTCAGTTCAAGACCTGCATCTTTAAATTAATCTGTTCTTATTTGGCCCTGTCTGATATGTCTATATTAGTTGATCTGCCCTGGAGCATTTTTTTCTTTGACAGTGCATTTTCCTAAAGGAAAGCAAGGCTGTACTGTGGAGTTCTGTTTATTATTTTTATTTATGACATGGATGAGGGTACTGAGTCTATCATTAGTAAATTTGTGGATGACATTAAGCTGGGAGGGTGTGTCGATATGCTGGAAGGTAGGAGGGCTCTGCAAAGAGACCTTGAACAGTTGGATGGATGGGCAGAGTCCAATAGGATGAAGTTTAATAAGTCCAGGTGCCAAGTCCTGCATTTTGGCCACAATAACCCCCTGCAATGTTATAGGCTGGGGATGGTGTGGCTGGACAGTGCCCAGGCAGAAAGGGACCTGGGGGTACTGGTGACAGCAGCTGAACATGAGCCAGCAGTGCCAAGAAGGCCAATGACCCCTGGCCTGGATCAGGAGTAGTGTGGCCAGCAGGAGCAGGGAGGTCATTCTTTCCATGTACTCAGCACTGGTGAGGCCACACCTGGAGTGCTGTGTCCAGTTCTGGACCCTCAGTATAAGAAGCACCTTGAGATGCTTGAGCACATCCAGAGAAGGCAACAAGGCTGGTGAGGGGCTTGGAATATGAGCCCTGTGAGGAACAACTGAGGGAGCTGGGGTTGTTTAGCCTGGAGAAAAGGAGACTGAGAGGTGACCTTATCACTCTACAGCTCCCTGAAAGGTGTTTGTAGTCAGGTGGGTTTGGTCTCTTTCTGCAGGCAGCAACTGACAGAAACAAGAGGACACAGTCTTAAGCTGCGCAAAGGGAAATTTAGGTTGGATGTTAGGAAAAAGTTTTTTATGGAAAGATTGATAAAGAACTGGAATTGTGCGCCCAGGGAGGTGGTTGTCATCATCCCTGGATGTGTTTAAGAAAAGACTGGATGTGGCACTCAGTGCCATGGTTTAGTTGAGGTGTTAGGGCATGAGTTGGACTCCATGATCTTAAAGGTCTCCTCCAACCCAGTGATTCTGTGAGTTCAAGCTAACCCTCCTGGGAATACCTGCATCACCTGGCAGCCATCTCAAAAGCCAGGCAGGGTTTAAGACCATCCACTCAAGAAATAAGCTCATGGTTACTTGACCATGGAAATGGCCTTGTGCCAGAATTCAACACCAATGAGGCAACACATCAGTTGAGGGAACATGCCAGGAGACCCACAACTGGGCATCACATGAAACAGGCAATTTGTCCTCCTATTCTTCCAAGTTAGTAAATCACAGAGGAAACAACATCACACAGGAACTGTATGAATCACATAACACATCCAGCCCAGCATTCTGCCTGCAAACCCAGACAGGAAGGTATAATCTGGGAGAAGTATAAGAACAGGGTATACAGACAGAGCCTGCTTTCTCCTGGCACCTCTTCCTGGCTTGTACCATTCAGCAGATCTGACTTCCAAGCAGAAGCTCAAACCCAGAACACAATGCTAACAGTTGCTTACGGATCCACACTCCAGAAATTCTGCACTTACAGCTCTTCATGGTCTGATTTCCACAGCACACCTTGACAATGAGCTCCACATCTGAAAATGTTCTGGATGGAAAAAGTGCTTCCTTTTGTTCATTTTAAAGTCCCATTTGCTTCACTGGCTGCCCCTAACATGAATGTGAAGAATCATTCCTTGTCTATTTTCTCCACATAAATTAGAATTTCATGCACCTCTGGTGTTGCCTCTCCTCCTGCTAGAGAAACATTTCACATGTTTAATCTCTTCTTCTACAGAAACCATCCCTAACTACTCTTGTCACACTTGTCAGTACCTTTCCAAACTTTACTGTGGTTTTTGTGCTGAGGCAATGAAGGGGGCATTAGGATTTAAACTTCAGGTGTGCTGTGGATGCACACAACAGGAGACAAGATTTTATCTTCTTCTCTGCTCCTTTGAATCAAACCTTCAACCTGTTTGCCTACCGGATCACTCCTGCACTTCAAGCAGCCACTTTCATGAAGCTACAGCACCAAGTCCATGATGTCTTTCCTGAGCACAGGACTGCAAATCCTGCTGTTCCCCAGGCTTTAGTAGGAACACTCCCCCTAAGTCTTATTTTACAGGCAGCACCATCAAATTTGATCTGCTGTTGTCACTTAGCTCTGCAATCTTATCTGAATCCAGCTACAAAGGTGCTGGGCTGGAGTTTTCCCCACTGTAGAAACAATCAATAAGCAACACTGGGAGTAGCCCACAAAGGGTTCCCATATCCACCAAGTCTGATCCTGGTGAAACAGATGCAGCAGCTCATTTAGAGGCAGAATAATGTTATCAAGTGCAAACAGCCTGCAGCAGGAAAGCTGTGCCAGAGAGAACATCTCAGGATGGGCTGAAACAGCAAGTGGACATGAGGGATCAGCTGAGGGTGGATGGGACACACCGAATTCCGTTCTTTTGCCAGCACCTTCACCAGTTTCAATGCTGGTGTGCAGCTGTTATGAGAATTCTCAGTTTTGTCCCACCAAAGAGAGATTAGAGTGAATTCACCTTTTACCTTTGTCTACGAGGAAACTCCACTTCACTGTCAACTTCGCCCTCCTCCTCTTCTGACGACTCATCCCCGCTCTGGCAGAAAACAAGGACAAAAAGGTGTAATGTCTGGGGAAGTTCAAACACGGCTGACCTTTGGTCTTCCAGGACAAAGTCACTGCAAAACAGTGCAAAAATCTACAGGATGCAAGAATCTAGACCAGAAAATAGTCTATGTGTCAGGAATGCTGACTCAGATATTGTCTACCAGGGGCTGTTTCAGGCAGCCTCAAGGCTGCTATTCCCAAATCTGGCGTGACTGACTAGGAAATACACTGGAGTATTTTAGCAGGTATGGAGTACAGAACATTCCAGATTCTCATTGAAGCAAATAAAGTAATTAGCATCACATAGAAAGCCACATAAATTATGGAGCAGATTTGGTGCTCTTGGGTTTACCCTCTTCTACCACAGCCCATCAATAGAGCAGGATGGAGGATGACACAGCCTTTGCCATGGGTTTCACTAGCTAGGAGAACTTGGGATTTGTTTCATACCTCAGTGAGCACAGAGCCTTTTATTTTCCTTTTCCCATTCAAATCTACCCCCACACTGTTTTTTTTTACAGCCTCCTTCTATCCTATCCAACCTGTGAGCCCCTCATTCAGATTAAGCCTTTATCTCATCCCATCCCCTTGTTTTACAAGGTCCTACTGCCTTCACGCTGGGGCCAAACCACACTCTTGGTCTGGTAATTATGCTATTCTCCTTGACTTTTCCAGCCAGGCCCAGTTTTCATGCTCTTTAAACTCAGACTTCTCTCACCACTTGGATGGAAGCAGGAGGAACAAAGAGCTACTTCTGTACAACTGTGCCATAACCTCGTTTTTACTCTCGCAAAATCTTCACAAAATACGGGAGAGCTATGACTTTCAGTGCAGGGGAACAATTTCCAGCAAGTGCAGCAAAAGGGATGTCCTCAAGACCACGGCAAATGTTGCATCTTTGCCCTGAGACACAGCAGCACCACAGATTCTCAAGGAAACTCTCACGCAATATTACAGAACAATTTAAATAACACATTTATCCCTTCCTTTGGAGAAAGGCTTCAAAGCATTTTGAGACTGTTTCAACATCAAAAATTCAGCAGAACAAGTTGCAATTCAAACCAATGCGAAACTGCACATAACAGAACCAGGCCCTACCAAAACCACATCTTCAAAGCCCAGTGCTCTGTCCTTACCTTTTGGAGGGATCTTGCTTTGCAGGGCAGCCCTGAGGAAGCCAAGTGCTGGGGAGTGCCCAGGGTGGACGCCGCCGTGCCCTGCTCCTCCAGCTTCTCCATGAACTGCGCACTCTCGTAGAGGGACGCGGATGCTGGGGAGTGGGGGCGGCTCCCCCCTGGTTCCACAGACGCCATCTGTGCCTGGCCACTGTCCTCATCCCTGCACTGCAGGCAGGGGTCGTAGGCATCGGCCTGGCAGCACTCCCAGCGCTCGGCCGTGCTGTCCTTGCTGTCCAGGCCGCGGCGGCAGTCAGCCTCCATGGCGGTGGAGATGAGGTCGGGGCTGGAGCCGGACATGCGGCGCTGGGAGTGGTTGCTGAGGGGGCTGCGCAGCGCGGCCGCGGGGCCGAAGTACCGCAGGTTGTTGGCGCAGGTGGCGATGTCCTGCCCGTGGGCGTGCAGCCGCGAGTGCTGCCCGTGGGGCCCGTGGCTGGGCTGCTGTGGCACTCCGGGGGTGTGGGGAGGGTGGGGAGGACCAGGCTGGGGGGCATCGTCTTGCACTGGCTGGTTCTTCAAGATCCCTGCAAATTCATTGTAGCTGCCTTTGCTGTTCCCCCGGCGGTGCCGGGGCTTGCTGCGGTACCGGCTTTTACCACTCAGGGTTGACATCTTGGGACTTCCTGAGACTGGGGAACCATTGGATGCTGCTTCTGTGCTGGGTATGCCCTCTGACTTCAGCAGATCTGGCCTGGGTGACAGGGAGAAGAAGCTATATGTCAAGCCACAAAGAAGTGACACCAGCCCAGGGCCAGGATGAAGAGGCAGCTGGAGCCAAAACCACATTCGCTTGCTTCCTAAAATCTACAGGCTGCCCTCCCCTTCAGCTGCTTGACTCCTGCATTTTGGTCCCTGTGATTCTCTCTACTCAATGCCATTTCCATTCAGCCCACCCTGCTCTACACTCCCATCTTGCTGCTTTTTCCAAGAGCTGTCACACGCTCTCTTTTTCCGCTCTTATTTTGATGTTCTCTCCCAAAATAGCTCCCTCACAGGACCTTGAGGTAGAGCATGGCTCTCACTCTGTGCATGTACAATGGTGGTGATCAGGCTGCTCATCTAAGAGCCATGTGGGGATATTAATTCAGAAGTGATTATTCACTGGTAATCAGGACTAACTCCTGGAAATCCCCAAAAATGTAAAGACTAAGACAACTCCTCTAGAAAAAAAATAATCTCCCTATCTCAAAGTCATGCAGAAGAGAAATAACTGAAAGGACAGCATGAATTCCCAAATCTCAAATCCCAAATTAATTCCTCAACAATGAATACATCCTTCCTGAGGCCTGCCTGATTTCCACAATCCCTTGCCCTGCTTATTCCCATACAAGTAAAGGATGATCTTGGACAGTTAGGAATTTGAGAAAACACAAGAGATACCTCCTGTCCAAGCACCATCATCTGCTCAAAAATCACATGGACCAACAATTCATTCATTCAACCAACACTTTCCGTGATTCTGTAGTTCCAGAGAGCTGCCCAGGTGGTAGGGATGGCAGAATTCATCCCTTTCACCTTAAGATAATTAAACAATTATGGTTCTGAGGATCAGACCAGGCTCAAGAAACCCCTTTGTACCCTGCATTTCATCAGGCTCAAAGGGAAGGAACTGCCCAGTGGGGATCTACCACTGGCTCTGGCACAGGACTGGGTTGTTACTTCTCACCGTTTGGTCTGGCTGCCTGGTTTATGGGAGACCCCTTTCCTCTTCATCAACTTCTCCACTGTGTTGGGGTGGATTATTGGTCTGACTGGGTGGCGTTTGTAAGTCCCAGGGTATTTCTTTTCCACCGCTTGTTCCCTCCTGAAACATCAGGGAAAGACAAAAAAAGAAAACCACATCAATTGTTTGTCTCTCCACGTGCTGCTCTCACTGGACAGGAACTGGCTCTACAAGGAAAACGCTGCATGCCCAACTGCTCTGCTGGGAAAGGGCACAGACACTTCTAAATTCCTTCTGCAGCCATCATGCAGCAGGGACAAGGCCCTGGCAAACAGTCCACGAGCAGCACTGCCATTCCCTTCACACATGGGCCAAAGGATGCCAGCACCAAATGGGAAGGTGCCTTTCTCCAAGTCAGTAACCACTGACAGTGGTCTGCAGGAATTCACTCTGAAGGGACCTCTCTCCCTGCTCAACAGCAATTACCTAACCTTTGTAGTTTGTCAGGGGACACTAAATCTACAAGTGCCACTATCCAGTTTAGAAATGAAGCACTGTTTGTGCTCTGCTGTGTGCAAACTGACACATGCATATCACCAATCCCAGACACGTACTTGATGAGCTCCTTCTCCCGCACCTCCAGCTGCAGCATGATAGCACTGAGCTCCATGTACAGGTTATTGGCTCGCTCCAGCTTCCTCTCATAGTGCTCACGGATATCTAATGCATGTCTGAAAGGCAGAAAAGGCTTTATTGCAGTCTGACTTCCATGGACCAAGAGAAGAGAAAGGCAAAGTACAGGTGCTTTAGGAAAAGGCCTTTTGAAAGTCAAATTTGTCAGCTGTGCCGCACGGAATCCCAGATACAGCTAACAGTGAATGATGATTGATTAGAGCCTGACACAGCAATAAATGGTTTAGAAAGCGTTCAACAGCCCTGAAAGAGTGGCAACACTCCTCCCTAGAAGAGCTGCAAATGCCTCACACACACCCAGAAGCCCTCTGGCCAAGCCCTGATCAGCCTGTTTGCACAGAGAAGGGGCTAAACCAGCCTCTACAGAAACAGGAAAGTCATGTGTCTGCATTTCATTATCAGCAGGGTGTCCCCACAGCTCCAGCTGAAAGACATGGCCACCCAAAGCTCCCTGGAGACAGGGAACACTGAACAACTACTGCATCAAATTACCCAGCCAAGGTAATTGGTTTGATACAGAACTGCTTCTTAGAGTTTTATGTTTCTCTGTCAACCGTATTTGCAAATCTGTATCACCAGAGGAAACACTTTTCCTTCTTTAAATAAACCTTCTGCTTTCATTTTTAAATTGGTTTAATGTTCAAAATGCATTTCAGTGGGCTGTTCATATGAAGTATGTTCACTCCTCTGGAATAACTAACCCAAAGAAAGTATCAGGGCAGAGAAAGCTCACAGCCAACCCCAGGATGGATTTCCCACAGAGATGAATGTATCTGCTTCAGTGCAGTTATCACAAACACCAACTCTCAGGCACAAATATTCCCTGGGAAACACACAAGCCTCTGCCACCTTGTCTGGAGCAAACTGTTGAGACTGCCCAAGAACAGCGACAGTTCTCACTGCTTCTTTCCAGCTTCCCATCAGCTGAGCAGTGCTCATGGCCTAGGCCATGCCCATGGGAATTTTGGTTTCTGGGTTCACATGAAATTTAGGCTGCCCAAATTTATACCACCAGGAATACTGGGTCCTGTTTTGGGAACCTCAGTACAAGAGGAGAATAAAAAGCGTCAGGGCCTGGAGCAGGAGGCCCTGTGAGGAGAAGCTGAGGGCTCATTTAGCTGGGAAGGGAAGGCTGGATGGGAAAAGTGAACCGTAAACACAGAAGACTGTGAACACACCTCAGCTCTTCTCTTCGACGGCGAATCAATTCTTCATCCAGCCGGTGGATACAAGTTCCTTCACTTTTAATTTTCTCAAAATGTTTCTTCACTTCTTCTCTCCATTCAGCCTAGGAAAGCAATTTACTTTTAGCTATTTACAAAGAATTGGGATCTGTAGGTGCACCACAGAAAAACTCTTGGGCAATGTTCTTCAAGTCTGCAGAAAATTACAGCTTTGGGTTGAGAATGTATTTTTGTTAGCTGAATTATTTTGGGTAACAACACTGCAGCACATGTAGTGCCAGCATTTTCAAATGGTATTTACAATTTTGTGCTCCAGAGAATTTAAAACATATCTGCATTTTCTAAGAAATAATTTTTTTAATTCCTAGAGCTCTTCTTGTCCTAAGAGAACATTTTCTTTCATTTTGGTGGTGAAAATAAGTAGAAAGACTAATCATTTTGTAAGCTCCATGATGATGCCTGGCTAGAGTGATACTCTATTTGCCCCTTTGAAGCCCTGGTTCCTGCACCAGAAGTCTCAGCTTGGAAAAGTTTGGGTAAAACATTTCCAAATATCCATCAGGTTGCTCCTCCCCAAGAATAAAACTGAAATCATGGATCCAGATTTTCTCTACTCAATGTGCCCTCCAAAATCAAATCCTTGTAGCTAATTCCAGCACTCACAGGCTACAGCCTTTCCCCAGTTACCTGGGATTTGAAGTAGGTTTCCTGAGGAGTAGCCAGCACATCAGCAGAGGCGATGTCCAAGTGCATCAGTGTCTGGCGGAAGGACGGGCGGTTCCGGGGCTTGCTCTGCCTGAAATGAAACAGAAACAGCCAGGGGTGAGGTGAGGGATGGGCACTGCCAGCCTCTCCTGCCCTTCTGAAAGGTTTTACTAGATCCTATTCTCTGAAACAAGCAGCTGACAGGTTAGAGCAAAGGAGCTTTTCTCGTTTTCTCTTTTGCTGAATACAATTTAATTGTACTAGAAGCGGTTTGTGGTGACCCACTCTGAAGAAACAAAAGAGGTGCAAAATGTTTAAGACCAGAAAATGTAACTACAAGGTGAAAGATAGCAACAGTGTCAGTTTCTATCCTAACTTGTCAAGAAGAAACATACTTTGGTTTGTTGTCCCATTAATTTCCAAATTTTGTAATGGGAAGACTAGATCTAGTAGAAATGAAAACATGCATTCAGGGTGCTTCTAAGCACAAAAGGTCTGAGTTGTCACACAGCACATGCCTGAGTACTGCAATGCACTGAACAGCCCCAAAGATCACAGAAAAATACAAAAACGTTTGCATTTTTGAGAAAAAGGACCAGCACTTGAGTTTCAGGACTGAATCCATCTTGCAGAGAGCAAGAGCAGCTTCTTGAGCTTCCTCTCCCCTGACAACCACCTCCTTCCACTAGGTGGGGATACAAGTGTTTGCAGGTGCTCTGTTGTACCGAGGTGCACAAGCTGCCACAGCCCTCCTGCTGCAGCTCAGGGTAAACAGCCACTGGGAAAGATCCACATGTGCTCTGGCCTGTTGTCTCCTTTGTGCCATGGGGAGGATGGCTGGTAAAACCCACGGAGTGGGAAAATGCTGGAAGATCCTTTACACTGTGTCAAGATGTAATTACAAAGACAAAGCATCAATGTGAAACCCAAGACAAAGAATTTCAATTCTAATCTGGTACACAGAGGAAGCTGAAAGCATTTTCCATATCTGAACCTGGAAAATCCGTGCTCCAGACAGAAAGGTCGTTTTTCTCTTCGTCCAGTCCAAAAGCCAGTTGCTTACAAGCGTTTTTCTGAGTGAAAAAATCAGTTTCCTTCACTCTGGATGTGGCCTCAAGGAATTTTACCCCTATTTTCTTTCCAGCTCCTTTCCTCTTCCCACAGAGCCACTTTTTATCCCCTACTTTGCTACAGCAAACCAACACCCTCTGTGAAGGCTCCTGAAGATGTCCTGGGGTCCAGGCCTGCTGCCACAAGGAAGCAGAATCCAAAATGTTAAAACTTGTTCTCAGGACAAGTGTGAGAGTATCTAAGAGCCCTCTGCTCTGGGCTCCAAATTCCCACCCTGACTTTCATGGGTTTTGCTGGGAGCCAGCCCTAGATTTATGCTGTATTGGGTGCAGGCTCTTACCAGGTTTGCTTCATGAGGATTTTGAAGCCATCTGGGCAGGTGGAAGGGACAGGAAGGTGGAGGCTGTTGCTGCCCACTCCCCAAATGATGGCCGAAGAGTCCACGTCCTTGTAGGGAATCTCTCCCGTGAGCAGTTCCCACAAAACCACCCCAAATGACCTGATGAAGAAATAAACCAGGAGAAATCGAGTTCACACAGAAGCTGCTAACAGAAACATCTGGGGCTTCAAAAAACAGTTTGTTGGGCAAAACAGGGAAATAGGAATGTCTGGTCCAAAACTGCAAGTAGGTGCAACAGTGTTTTTTAACACACCAGGTAACTCCTCTGCTCCAGCACTGAGCTGAGCACAAAACCACACTGGTTTTCACCCACCCTTTCCTGCTTCTTGGTGAGATTTTAAAGATCCTGAAAGCACATTTTCTGTACAGATTAAGTCTTGCTCCTGTTAAATGAAAAGACTCCGAAGTCTACTCTCAGATAGACTTTGGACTGTTCTTGCTGGTAAGAACAGATGATTGACAACTGCACAGACTGACAAGTGTCTTACAGGGACAACACAACAAAGGTTTTGTGGCTTTTTTACATTTCATTTAACTGGTTTTCTTTTCTTTTCCCTAACCAAAGGCTCCCTCTGCTGTTACCTGTAGTCCCAGGTAAGAGTTTCAAGGTTTGAGACTCAGCACTACAACTACTGCAACACAGAAATTAGGAAACAAATGCTACTTGCATAACTGTCAGTACCAAAAGCACATGAGGTCTCATCTGATATTCCTTTTGTTCTGAAGAAAGGAAGAATAGAGCAAAAAATAATTAATTAAGATAACTCAGTCAGGGAAAGAACCTCCTACAGGATCCAAAAGATGTAGGTAAGAAAACTCACTTTGCTTCTCGTCCTTAGTGAAGTTACCAGAAAGAGCCAAAACCTTAATTTTTAACAGCAAACATTTGTTTTGTATACAATCATCACCTGATAAAGCACCAAAGAAACACCAAACCAGTCAGTACAGAGGTAAACAAAATGCTGCTGAGAACCACCACCAGTGTTACTGCACATCAACAACTGGGCTGTGACACAGCCCACAACCATCTCCATTTCCAAGCCATACACACGACCTTACCCCCACTGTCCCATTCTCCTGTGGGACACCGACCCTCCTAAGCTGGAGACTACAGCCAGGTGAAAGGGAGAAGGGTCCCTCTGGCTTGTACCAGTAATCCAGTGCTTTTATTCAGTACAGAAGAATTTCTAAGGGACAAACTACCAGGTCTGAACAACCATCAGTCAGGAAACAACTTCATGTGAAAAACACTTCACTTCTAAAGCCCATTGACTTCAAGTCATGTGCAAAGAAAAAAAAAAGCAACAAACAAGCAGAATTTGAATATTTCTTGCCTCAAAATCCTTTTTTGTGGGCTGCAGGAAAGCAGGGATCCAGAAGGTTGGACAAACTACCATGGAAAGCTCATCTGGTTTCATATTTGTTGTGACTAAGAACTGACAAAGGATTTCCAAGACTCCTGATAAGATTATAGATTTATTTTTCTGCATGCTGTTAGGGTGAGAGAGAGCAGACATATAAGCAGCTCAGGAACTGTTCTCATTTGTTGGCAGCATTCATGAACATCATTTTTATTCATCTTGAAGGAGGAATGGATGGCAAGGGAGAGTCTGAGCAATCACCACTGTTATGAACTCCAGAGGAACTGACACTAAAAAGCAAGACCTCCAAGTCACTGAGGGAAGGAGCAAAGGGTTCATTGGACAGGACATTCTGTGAAATATCCCTGAACATAAACCACTCTAAAGGACAGAAAGCCAAGGGTGGAAATCCAGCACCACTCGTCCTCACAGTCCTGCGATTCAAAGGGAGGGGTTCAGCAGACAAATGCTGGGTGTGTTCCCTTTCCAAAAAACCCCAAGTGCTCCTCCCAGAGGAGCTGGCTGTGCTGTGACCTGGACACCTAAAATAAACACAGAGGACACCACAGGCACAAGAGCAGCTGGACACCACAGATAACACCACCTTCCCTGCAGGAAATCTTGCCCTTCAGGCCAAGCCCAGGCCCGAGCCAGACCTCCAGCAGCAGCTCCTGACTCCACTGCACCCTGGACCACCCGCGGCTTTGTCCGGCAGCTCCCTGCCCTGCCAGGGAAGGGACAGCATCTGAAGCTGAAAAACCACAGGAAGCAAGATCCCTCCTGTCTGTAAAGCAAGGACAAGGGCATTTGTCCTGGCTACTGACATTGAATATGCAGAAATAATGAGGCAGAAACAGAGATGCAATTCCCTTGAGGGCTCTGAAACCTGTGGAGAGGCTTCCCAAAGGAACTCCAAGGCCGAGCCCTCTCAAGCATTTTTAAAAGTACAGAGACTGAACCATTCCTTGTGTTCCTTTGGACACAGAGATGTTCCACATCGATAGAAACCGGTTCCAAAACTCTTACAACCTATCCTGGTTTCCTCCCTCTTGGATCTGGGACTGGATTCACTGGACTGTAATCCTGGGGCTGCCCCTACAACAACCAGCCTGGTGTGCAGGAAGCACAAGGGTGTGGGGAGCAGAGCAGGGAACTCCTCACAGGCCCAGCATGGCCCTGAAGAGGGCCAGAAGTGATGGAAAACCACCCTGGCTGTGGAGGCTGCTGAGGGGGCCCTGAGCACAGCACTAGGAGAAAATTCTCAGCTGAATAACGACACAGAGAACAATTTCTGCATTTGCTTCCTGCCAGACACAGACTGTCTGAACTGATCTTTAGCTGGAAGCTGCAGGTCAGCACCCAGCCAGCACACCTGTGTCATTTCCCTTTCCACCAGAGCCCACCAAAGCTCAGGGCACCAGGCAAAAGGAAAAAGGAATAGCCCACCACAGAGCAAACCATGCTCAGGCACAGGACGAGGAAAGGAAGTGTTGGGAAACCAAGGGACTGAACAGAAGGTGAAGGTTCTTGCCCATGAACACGACTCACCAGATGTCCACCTTCTCGGAGACAGGCTCGTTCCGTATCACCTCCGGGGCCATCCACGCCACTGTCCCCGCAAAGGACATTTTGGTACTTTTATCGCTGAGCTCTTTAGATGTACCAAAATCTGAAATCTTTACTGCATCTGTGTGTGTAACCAAAACACTGGAGAGGGGAAAAAAAAGAAGTCAGCATTTTGTGATTTTTCTTGCACCACAACAGCCACTGGAGTAATCCCTTCTTAAGCAACACAACCTGTTGATGAAGCCACACTGCTCACAAGTGCAGTACAAAAGAAAGGTTTTTGTGTTTTCCCCAGTAAAAGCTCCCACTCTCTTTTAGGTGGTTATGTTTTGTGCCTTAAATGCATTTCTTAATGCTATGAGTTCAAAAATCAATCTCAATAAAACTGCAAATTAACAAGTAACTGAGGATCCAGAGGCAAAGCTGTACCCTAAACTGTGCTGTAAATAATCTAAAAGCATTATCTTAATGCACTGTCACAGACTAAAGAATTAATAAACATCTAGGGGATAAGAATATAAAGAAGCCAAAACATTTTAGTCAGAAAGCAACCTAGAAATGAGGAAGACACACTCTAGAAAGCCAGGGAATTAACAGTAGAATAAAAAGGAAAAATAAAAAGGCAGAAGGCAACAGAATATCCCACTTTTTAAAAAGACCAGGTATCATCAAATCATTAAATATTTCCTGAGTGCTATTTATCATGAAAGATACTGGTAAAATTTCCACTCTTGTTGAGTGTCAACAAGCTGCAACAGTTTTACTCTCATTAGTTTTGAATCAATATTGCGGAAAAATAGTAGAGCCTCTTGACCAAACTTTTAATTATTTCTCAAGAAAAATTAAAAATAGCCCCATCTGGGGGATGTTTAAGCATCTGAGAGTCACTTTGATGACGTGAAGAACCACATCTGGGGGATGTGTAACTTTGGTGACTTGAGGAACCAAAACTAAGGGATGTTTAATCAGCTGATACTCACTTTGGTGACTTGAGGTCTCGGTGGATGATTTTGTGGAGGTGCAGGTAGTTCATGCCACTGGCAATTCCCGTGGACCAGTCCACTAGCAGCCGTGGGGTGACCTTCCTGCCAGCCCGCAGGACCTCATAGAGCTGCCCGTGGGCACAGTATTCCATGATGATGCAGTAGCATGGGGCCTGGGTGCAAACTCCCCTGTCAAAGAGAACACACAGTGAGGAGCAGCAGGCAGACAGCTGGACCACCACTAAGACACAGCTTAGCTCCTGGATGGAAAAACCTTCCCAAAGAACTTGAGCAAATGGCTCTTGCCTGGATAAAGCTGACAAGGGTCACAACCTACTTGAAGGCGATAATGTTGGGATGCTTGAGCTTCCGCAGGTGCTTGATGTCTGTCTCGTTCTGATCCCTCACTTTCTTGATGGCCACCTCCTCTGCTCGGAATTTCCCCAGGAAGACGGCTCCCTGTGCCCCACTGCCCAGCCACTGCAGCTCCGAGATCTCCTCGAATGGCACCTCCCACGTGTCTGGGCACAGGCAAAAAAATGGGATAATGGAAAAGGTCAAGATCGTGAAAGTGTCAGAGCACACCTGCCACCTCCTGTGCCACAACGTGAGCTCTTCTGGAGGGAGTAGGTGACATCTTCTCCTGGTACAGCTGAGGCACACACCACATGAGCTCCAACAACCCTTTCAGCCATCCCAGTCACCTCCAGCCTTCTCATTCCCATCCTTCCAGCTGCTTTTTCACCTCCCTGCTAACCACTTGTGTGAGCCACTCCAGCTTGGCAGGCAGCAACTGACCGTAACAGGGACCCTGGATTGGTAATTTTGGGAGATCTACTCCAACACTGAACAAAGTGCATGACTCCATTGAAAAACATAGATCAGAGGAAACATTTAACATTCACAAGTGATATAAAAAATACTGAGTGTCTTTTTCACTACCTGAAATAAACAAAAATAGGAAATAAAAGTCAGAGGTGGCAGGCTGCAAAACACCGAGCAGCAACCACCAAGATAGGCAACACAAAGCACATCAACCACAGCAGCAGGCACAGAAATAGGTCCTTCCCACACCAACATCGTGTATATCAATGTCAAACTGGAAAAACAACCTTAAGTAATTCCTCCTCTTCAGTACCCACACACATTTGTAGGGGTAATGCTGGAGTGGTCCAGTGGCACTGTATAAGCTGCTTCAAGAGAGCTGCACCCATCAGAACAGAAAGCCCTGTTCCCTGTCAGTCACCTTGAAATTACCTCAAATCTCACAAGCAGCAGGATAAAAGGCAGGCAATTGTTTGTTTACTGTAGTTCAATAAAGATCGAAGTTTGGAGAATAAATTATTTAGCTGCAAACCTAACAAGTAACCCACTGATTTCTGAAATAAAAGGAAGTCACACCTGTATAGATCTCTGTTTCACATGACTACAAAGTGTGTCCTCCTCTCATCCAGACTTGGAGCCTTTGGGATGTTCCCAGGGTTGCAGCTGGGATTATGCCAGTGTCTGTTATAGATACTGTTATCACTGAGAGGAAACCTGTATATCCCAACTGTCTGTGGCCTGATCCCACTTCCAGGCTTTCCCTGGGATCATTCATGCAACAGGCAGGCAGTGGCTGCTGTCTCCTGTTGAGCAAGCTCTCCCCCAGCATGGCCATGGGAAAGCAGCTCTCCCCCAGAGCCAGACCCCAGCACTCCTTCTGCTCACTGAACTAAAACCACAAATCCACAGCAGAAATTCCCTCGGTCTTGGCAGGGCAGAGTTCAACCCCCAGCACATGTTCCTTCACAGATACAAGGCTACTTTCCATACTCATGGAACTGCTTGCAACTCTAAACATAAACTGGCATTAAAGTCTCTGGATATTTAAACACTAAAAGATTTTTTAAAAAGAAAATTATTGGATAATTAATAAAATTCATTCATTCATACTTAAATCAAGAAAATCTGTATTTCTATTTAATTCACAAATGCATCACTTCTGAAAGGAGGTGACAAATAGAGGTGATTTTTGTGCATGTTGATGAATAGTGTTTTTATATGGGCAACATAGAAACTATCCTGTTGTACTGAACTAGCTGTTCCTTTCATAGAATGGACTGGGGTGGGAAGGATCTAAAAGCTTGTCCAGTTCCTGCCCTGCCATGGGCAGGGACACTTTCCACTATCCCAGGTTGCTCCAAGACCCATCCAACCTGGCCTTGGACACTTCCAGGGATGGGGCAGCCACAGCTTCTCTGGGCACCCTGTGCCAGGGCCTCCCCACCCTCACAGGGAAGAATTTCTCCCCAGTATCCCACCTAATCCTGCCCTCTGGCAGTGGGAAGCCATTCCCTGTTGTCCAAAGTCTCTCTCCATCCTTACCTGTGGGAATTCTGTCTTTCCTGTACAGCACACACAACACTGGCATTCATTTCCATGAAGCATCTACAGTTTGTGAGCAGTAATGGATAACTGTATCACCTTGGAACCTTAGTTTGCTCTTAATACTCCCTACCATGTAATATTACCTTCCTCTAATATTCCCTCTGCAATGGTAAAGGCTTAGAGGGACTGTAAACAAAGTAAGCAAAAGTTCATGTGGTTCTTTCTGCAGAGTCATCTCATGTTTATTTTGAAGCATAGATGCTCTCTCATATCTCATTTGCAGCCTGATTGTCAGGGGCACAATTCCAGAAAGAGGTTTCCATGTAGTGACAGTGAAATATCCCACATCTTTGGGAATATCAAGAAGAACAAAGAGCCAAACCATAGGTAACATACAGTGCAGTAGTCAGACTCTTCTGGGCCTTCAGAAACCAGTGGGATACTTCCCCTAAATAAATTTAAGTAATAGGAGCAGGAATTGTGCAAGAACTTGCGTTTCTGAGGTGATTAAGAACCATTTGAGTAGAATGATGAGAATCTATTTCCCATGGGGAAGAAACGCAGGAGCAGCCTGAGCCATTGAACCAATCTATTTGGAGGAAGTTTTTCCCAGCACTGGCTGCTCTCCAGCACTGGCATTGTGACAAGAAGCATCTCTGGTTTACACAGACCCCCTCAACACAAGCACCCTCCAGTGGGCACCTTGCTCTCCAGGTACACACAAAAACCCTCACAATAATGGTAAACACACAACTTGTGAAAGGGAAGGTGAAAGCAGCTCCTGGAGACAGCTTCTAATCCAAAGGAAATGGCTGGGAAGTCTAATGAGTCTCTAGGAAACACAAACAAGTCTTGCTTTAAAGTGCTGGAGTCCCCACAATCGCAATTAAATAACTGGTAGATGTAAATTAAAGAACTGAGTGTGTGTCCCTGAAAGCACTCCCCAACAGCCTTTAGAAATCAGGGTAAACAACTGGAAAATCATAGGAGGGAGGGAATTTATGGTCAAGCCCCAAGTACTTAAACCTCAGATAATCAGCTGGCACTGAACAATACAAAAGCAGACATTCCCTGAAGGAATGACTCCTCACCAAGCAGGGACTGGCATCACTTGATCAACCAGCAGAGAGCCTGCAGCAGTTCCCAGCTGACCAACGTTCTGCCCAGCCTGTGTTCTGAGAGCAGCACACCACTCCTGTTGATCATTCGGGTGTCAGGAAGGACACTCAAGCAATAATTTCAACAAGATAATGGAGAATCATGTAAAAGCTGTTCTTACATTTTCCCTCTTTCACTAAGCCAAAGCTTCCCAGGCAATATGGGCTCAAGGACATGAAACCTATTGGTATTTTACTACTTGCAACCACAACACCACCACCATGCCCCCAAAGAATGGGCCTGCAGGACAGCCAAAGCAGGTGGGCAGGGATTCCAGGGAGCAGCAAAAAGTACCATGAAGCACCTGCAGGCAACATAAAATGGTTTGGGTTGGAAGGGATCTTAAAGCCCACCCCCTTCCACCCCCTGCCATGGGCTGAGACACTTTCCACTATCCCAGGTTGCTCCAAGCCCCATCCAGCCTGGCCTAAGACACTTACAGGGATCCAGGGACAGCCACAGCTTCTCTGGGCACCCTGTGCCAGGGCCTTAGCACCCTCACAGGGAAGAACTTCTTCCTCATCTAATCTTAATCTCTCTTTTATTCGTTTAAAACCATTCCCTCTTGCCCTATCACTACCTCCCCATGTAAAAAGTTGCTCTCCCTCTTTTTTATAAGCCCTCTTTAAGCACTGGAAAGCCACATGGCTCCAGATCCACTCTGGACTCCTACCCGTTGTTGATTCAGCCCAACACAAAGGATTACTCCTGGATGAGGCTTTACGTAGTTGTCTGATAAAGAAGGGGAGGGGGGAAATGGTCTGCACAGACCCATGGCACCAGCCCAAAGCTGTAAAGCAGCTCCCAGGGAAATGTAAAGCCACCACAATCCTCTCCCTGCTGCTGAAAGAGCCCCAGACATTTCCTCAGCCACACAGCACTTGCACAAACACAATCCATGCATCCTCTGTGTTCTTGCTAAAAGACAGCAAAAATAAAAATAATCACATACATCAGTTACTGAACGGCTGGCTTGTATGTAGCTGATGAAATGCACACAAAGATGATTTTCTGGTGGCAAGAAGCAAGAATGAGATCATCTGGAAAACAGAACATGAATATTCTCACAAAATCCTCAAGTTTCAGCAGTTTGAAAAGGTTTGTCCTTGAGTAATAGAAGTGTAGTACTGTCATCAGAGTAACAGATGTCATCAGAGCCAGACAACTGAGCAGCTCCAGAAGAAAAAATAATAACATTTTGAAAAAAATCTTCTTTTCACTCCCCTTTGCAACAGTGAAGACACTGAAAATGCAGCTCAACCACACAGACTACATATAGCTGATCCCAGTTAATCCTCAGCCTTACCACATCTGTAGCCAGTTCAAATCTGCCCTTTTAGAAGGGCCTGATGCCAGCAGGAAACAGCAGAGTGCCCCTGGATGTGTGGCTCTGAACACGCTCCCAACACAGAGAACAGCTAGACACTGTGCACAGGAACAAGCTCTGTGTGCACCCTCCAGCCCCAGTACTGCTCTCAGCTGCTCCTTTTCATTCATTACTGCTTCAATCTTTTAGTTTGATGACTTCCATACAAAAGCGAGTGTCCCCTGTGGGCCACCAAAGCACAGACTGCACTGTGCTCTCCAGTGCATCTGCTGGCCCAGTTATATGGGAAATGGGATCTCTCTGTCTCACAAGCCGCTCTCCCAAAGCCTCCCTTCCGAGGGGACAGGGACACACCAGCACAGGATGGCTCAGAGCCAGCAGTGGGGACAGGTGTGGGACACACAGAGAATTGCTGGGAGCGGCCACTGCCACTCTGCATCTACAGCCTTTCCTCAGAAATTTTTAGCTTCACTTACAAACACTGAGCATCCAACCCAAAGCACTGTCACACAGACACTGCCCAATGCCTGCTCTGAATGTCATCCAACTGCTCAGAACCTCCTTTCCTCCTTTTCCTTCCCAAGGGAGACTCCCCACCGAGACAGCCCCTTTCAAAACTGTGCACCCCTTGTGCAATCACCCCAGCAGCCTTAATCCTCTAGGGAACTTCCTGTCACTGTTTTTATTTATAGTCTGAACCACATGTGACACACCAAATTTACAACATGCAAACGAAACAGAACCAACTGTGCCAGAGAATTTCAAACCAAGCAAACCCTTGCACAGGGGGCTGCTGCTCAGTAGGCACCTGGAATGCAGAGGTACACTTCCTGCTCGCTGAAACAACTGACTCTAGAAAGCTGATCTCACGGTAAATTCATCTAACATGTTATTTAACAGCTCTGTTCCCTCGTATCAGGAGCTGTTCCCCATCCCTCTGGGGTTTAGTTTTGAACCACTCAGACCGGTTTCTGACCTTGTATCTTATAATTTGTCAGTGCCAAAAAGCCATCTGATTACCACTGTGTGATGCTCAAAGGAGACTTTGCCCCATGGTACTGCAGTGGCCAGGCTGTTCCCATTTTCCATAAGCCTCAACCATTTCAGCTCCTTAATTCTAATGACAGCTTGTTCTTCTCCCATCTGCCACCTCCCTCCCCCTGTGCTAGGGGAGAAATCAGACACCAACAGCAGAGCATACTCTGCTCTTTAGCTTTCAATACCCCCTAAAGATATATATAGAGATAGATATATAGATATATATGCAGTCAACTGGGACATCACTTATTCTCAAGCTACAGATTTTATATGTATTTATACTCACATACACTTACACATTTACGCTTACACATCCAAATAGAAAAGGTATAAATATTAAAGAAGATATTTCTGGAAAGATGAGTACTAAATGATATTTTAAAGAGGAATAATACTCCTGAATAAAAAGAAATAGAAGTCTTTTTAAAAGAGAAGCGATATTCCTGCTATTTGGTGGTCAACTGGGGACAGCCTTTACCTCGAGGTTCTGAAGTGGAAGTGCCCATGTCTGCATTTTTCATCTGGCATAAAAAACATCCAGAAATTAACACAGGGACCGTACCAAGTACTTCAACACAATTCCTTCTGATCCCCACGCTCCATTCAGATTCGGGCCTTGTCACTATGGTCCAAGCCACGGGGCTGAAAAGGCAGCTTTGACTCCCTCATGAGCCACCTTTGCCACATGACGGCTGTTGGCCTTACAGCGCAGGATTTATCCCTGGAAACCTGTGACAGGGCTGGGCAAGACCAAAACGGCCACGTGGAGAGCTGGGGAAGAGCCCTGGGTGACTTGCCTCACCTCACCCCAAAGCGGGCCGTTCCCTCTTACCTTGCTGCTGCAGCTTGTAGTCCGTGGAGTAGGCCTTGCCTATGATGTTCCACACGGGCCGCAGGCACCCGAAGAGCCCCTCGAGGAAGCCGCCGCTGCCGCTGCCCGTCCGGTTGAACTGGACCTTCACATCATCGGTGGCACCGCCGGTGTCGCCGTCTCCCGGGCTGCGCGTGCCCTGCGGCAGCCCCGGCTCGGGCTCGTCCTGCTCCCGCAGCTGCAGCACGCTGTTCTCAAACTGGTCGCGGGCGTCCTCGCTGATGCTGGTCAACACGGCCGCCGTGCCCGGGCTGCTCACACCCTCCAGCAGCTCGGCCGGCAGCGAGCCCCGCTCCCGCACGTCCTCCAGAAGCTCAGGGGACGCGTGGCTCCCGGCTGCGGGGTGCTCGTCGGGGAACCTCCCCAAGTCTTTGTCCTCACAGAACGCTTTGCCGATGGAGTTGGGAGAGGAAGACAGGCTCAGGCGCTCCTGAGTGCTGGCCATGATGCCGTGAGTGTGCATCAAGGAGACGGCCCAAAGGGGTGCTCAGAGCATTTGTAGGACACAACTCACATGTGACATGTGGGCCCAGTACCTGAAACAAGAGGAAAAAGAACAACTTCAATTTTTTATTTAAGTATTTTCATTGCCTGTAGTTTCACTGAGGTGGGCTGATAATTAACCAGACTTTCCAGACAGCCGCTGATACTTAGTAAATAATTACTGCCCTAAAAAAAATATAAATGGTTCCAACAGAAACTCCACTCAGGCAATACTCTCGGTAACCTACTGCAGGAATTGCCCAGTAAACAAACACCACAATTTTAAACAAGAGCCTAAAGGTCAAAGTCGTGAAAGATTCTTTGCAGAGAGTTCCTATAGCATTATCAGGCTGAAGCTGGCCCCAACTTAGCTATGGTTTGAGTCCCACCAGTGTTCCTGGGCCTGGAACAGCCCACAAGCTCAGGATCCCTCTGCAAACCCTCGAGACAGAGTTAGAGAAACAGAGCCCTTTGATACAGGTACCTTGATTCCACCAAGGGATGGTTTATGGCTGCTCCCTCAGAGTCCCACCTAGTTATGACCATTCCAGACCTTTGACTGACCCTCCATGTCCATTATGGCAAGATATGTTCAATTTTCTAACCACATCCATATCGCCCTCATAAGCAAGTAAAACTTGGAGAGTTTCACAGAACAGCAGACCTTCCTTGCTGATCTCCCACCACTGCTCTCCACTTCAACCTGGCATGAGCTTCTGGGAGGGTGCAGATAAAACAAGAGCTGAGATCCCTTTTCAGAAGTGCCACCATCTCTCGCTACATGCTCTACTGAGAGGTCTTTTTTCCATGACCCATGCTGGTGCCACGTTCCCACAGAGCCAGGTTGACAGCTGGGGGTCATGCTGCCCACTGCTAAAACAGCTTCGGGATAGTCCCTTCTGAAACAACAGGCTCTAATGCTGGGCCACAAGTAATTAAGTGAATTCAGCCTGCAACATGGAACAAAGTCCAGTTTTAAATCCCAGAAGACGCTGAGAGTGGGGTAAAAATAAAAAGGCCTTAACAGGAAGTATTTTGTTAAAAAGTAAGATCAGTTATAGCAGGTACAAATTTCCAGGCTCTGCAAACAGCCATTGGAAGGGAGAAAGAGGTGGCCAGGCAGGACACAGCCAATGGCAAGGGAACAGCTCAGTGCCATAGCTCCTCAGGATGAGGTCACTGCAGAGAGGAGAGATAAGCCCTTCAGCCTGCAGGGTGAAATGCTCCTGCCCTGGGCTTCAGCCCCTCTCCAGCAACAAACAGGAACAGCCAGGAACCTGGATTACCTTCCTGTATCCTGCCTGATCACATGGGGTTTGCAGAAAAGCTTTATATAGGCTGAAAACTTTGTTGTTTAAAAGAAAGCAAAACAGCAAGTGGGGCAGAGGCCGCAGCACAGCCCAAACCAGTACAGGAGCTGAAGCAGACTCATATGGGAAGCTGGAGAGTTGGTTATTCCTGACCTGCCAGTGACCAGCATTACCATGACCAATTCACCAGTGTGGGAAGCTGCAGTGTGACCTCATAGTACAAATACTACTAGCAGCAGTTGTTATATTATTGCAGATTTTGTTATTGGTAAGAACATGCTTCAGATCTGAACAGAATTTTAGAAAAACACCAGGCCTAGCTCAACTCAGTGTTCCTGGGCACAGCCTCTGCTCATTACCTAAAGTCAGGGAGTGACAAGTGATTGTTTAAACAAGAGCAAAATGTTCCTAGAGAGGTATCTGCTTTTTTCTAACATCTAAAGTCTGCTTAATATTCTAAATGTAGAATATTAAGCAATGCAAATAAAACATCAGCCATGTGTCCTGCAAGAAACCCAAATGTAAAGGCTAGAATTTGAGTTAACAGTGTCCCAAAATATCTCAAATTTAAGTATTGGAAAGTGCATTAAGGATTAAATCAGACTTGGAGGATAAAATAACTTTGCTGTTATGTGACTCTCAAGAGTACACTACTAGAGTGTGTAAGGCTTTGCTTTCACATTTTTAGTTTTCTGCCTCCAGAATGTTTGATCGTGGAAATTTAACAGGGAATGAGCAGCTCCTCACTACACAGCTCAGCCAAGAACAAAGCTCCAGACTTGGGGATATCAGGTCTGTTCTCCCAGATTAAATTGCCTTCTCCAACACTGAGATGTTTCAAACAAAAAAAGCCTTTAGGCACCATGTCCTGACACTTTACATGCTCCTGTACGTGCTTCATGGGGAGAGAAGGCACATAGAAGTTATGGAATTACTTTCAAACTGGCATGATACCGCCGTATTTAAGCCCTTACATAAGCAGCCTTATTTTCAGAGGTGTAGCAAAACTCATTGTTTGGAGAGCATGAAACAACAGAACTTCTTTTAAAAAACTACCCATCAAGCCAATTTGAAGCAAAATGGTGCAGAAACCCTGAGAGGGGTAGAAGGTGATTTCTGCCACACTACATCAGTGCTGACTTGTTGGGGGAAATTAATTCTTTTAATTTTCTTCTATTGCAGTAAATTCTGCACTGTGCAACCTCTTGCCTTAGTGAAATGTGATTCAATCTAATGAAAATAGGTTGGTTTAGATCTCACCATCTTCTTGAAACAAGGGAAGAAGAGCATCTTCCAAGTTTTATTGTCATGCTGCCACTATTCTTTTAGTCATAGTACCAAAAGACTGAGATTTTTCATGCTGAACACTTCCCAATAAAAGAAAAGGCAAACAAAAACATTTTCTTGAAAGTCTGAGGTTTCATTATATCCAGACATCCAGACATCCATACATTCAGGATGCATTCATAGGTATGCAGTGACAGGACAAGGAGGAACAGAATTCAGCTGAAGGAGGGCATGTTTAGTTTAGATAATAAATTGATAATTATTAGATAATAATAAATTGCTCACTGTGGGAGTGGGCAAGCCCCGGCAGAAGTCACCCCTGGATCCCTGAAAGAGTCCAAGGCCAGGCTGGATGGCGCTTGGAGCAACCTGGGACTGTGGAAAGTGTCCCTGCCCATGGCAGGAGGTTGGAACTGGATGATTTTTAAAGTCCCTTCCAACACAAGCCAGCCTGGGATCCCATGTCTGTGCTCTGCATGTGCATCTTTAGCTTTTCTAGGGAAAGGCATAGCCAAGGGCGGTGCTATTTCTACCCAAGTGATTGATGCTCCTGCTGCAGCAGCCTCCCAGTCAAAAGCTGGAAGCTCCATGTGTGGGAGGACTGTGCATATTTAAGAGATTGAGACTTCACAAAGTGCTGCTGCACACACAGACTTGAAGGCAGACCCTTGGATTTGAACTGTTTTGATGAGTTCATGCACTCTGCACTAACAAATTTCTCTTCTGACTGGAAGGAGACTCAAGGCTCGGTGTAATTTTGTACGATCACAGCTTCTCATAAATGACTCCATTTCCATGCAAAGTATTTTTTCCAGGCAAAATCCCACCGCCTCCAGACAAGAGCAGCATGAAATGCACCTCTTCTCAGAAGAGTGAGGCTGTACCTCAACATGTCGGACAGCCCAAAATTCAGTTTGAAACTATAGAAAAGTGAGAGTTTACTTGAACCACCAATTGGGTGGATCAGCTACCAAGGTACACTCTCACCTTGCCTGGTAATGTGCCTGTCCCTGGAAACAGCCATCCAGGAAATGTCCTCACACTCCCCAGGAGCCACCAAAGCACATGGCTGCCTACACAAGTTCAATATTCGTAAGAGTGTCAAAGCAATGGCCAGGTTTGCAGCTGAGTTAACACAATGCCTTCTGTGAACCATTACTGAAGCTTCTCCATTAAAGAGCTGTGCTAAAGACTGAGTGGCAAATCAGACACAGCATTCCAGATACAGCACACAAACCAAACCAAACAAAAAGTCAGTGTGCTGGAAAGGTGATGTAGGCACAGAGGCCACCGCTCAGTCTCCTGACAGCCCAAGTCTCCAGTAACACCAAGTTTGCTTCCTTGAATGCTATTTCTATCTTAGCCAGTGAAGCATAATCTCTGCTTGCACTTCCAACATGCAAAGGGGATAAAAGCAATTGTCTGATCCATGTTTAGGGGCTGAAACACAGCTGCTGGCAGAAATTATCCAGCTGGTACATGGAACTACCACGGACAGAGGAGATTTCTGCCCAGATCACTACTTACAGCCAAACCCTGTAGTCCCCTTGCTTTTTCCCGGTATTCAGTGTGATTTCCTCCTGGCTACAGCAGGCACAAGGTAATTACACATTTCCTCACTGACAGCATGACTGGAATTTATGTATGTATCATCTCGACTAGTGGCTTGTGACAATGCTTTAAAAATGTTCTAAAAGCTAACAAAACCACAAAAAGCGTGTCTATAAAGCACAGACATCACGTTCTCCTGCTCTTTGTGACTCTCTCTCTCTCAAACTCTACAAGGAATTTTTACAACAGATTGATGCACAGTCCTCTCCCATCACTGTACAACTCCAGCACAGGAACAACTGAGAGCTGCTGAATTGGCAAGTCCCAGAGCTTTTGTTGTCACTTCTGACCTTTGGGGTTTGAACCATGTGGTTTTACTACACAGGATTACAACAGACTTTCTTTTCCTGTTCTCCTGATGAAGAAAATGCTACATGAGTGGATCAGATACTCCTCTTCTGCCACACTTTTTACATTACTTGGAATACAGGCTTGTATGGTTGCTTTGCATGGTTGCTTTGAAAACAAACAAGTAAAAGTAGATTCATTAATGGAGAATGGGTTACACATCACCAAAAGGCAAACTGTTTTCAGGAGCATTCATTTTTTTTTTTTTAAATTACATTATTACATTAATTAATTACACTACATTTTTTTAAGTTACATTATCTGTTTTGTTAGGTTGTAAAAATAAGAAACTACACTATGAAGCTTGCTCACATTAATTTGGTATAACCCAGCCCAGGCTATGGGCAAACATCTAAGTCAACTATGGAGTACCCCAAGGCAAAAGCCTGGGTGATTTTAAGCCATCAATCTTCTCAAGACACATTGCTCCTTCAAGGAAGAACATTTCTTCCCATCTCATACCCACATGAAAGCCACACCCCAGCTTATCTTTAAAT